TATGTATATAGTAATACAAACATTCTTAGTTGCTCATGACAACTATATCATTTACGTCTCCTTGTGCAGGTGCGGAATCAAGCAACAACACATTTTTAGGCGCACGACCCAGCGCAAACGTTATCAAAGCACCGATCTACGACACCAAGGCTCCATCGCATGAGCCTCTGCCCACAACTCAGGTGTGTTCTAGCATGCCTGTTAGTTGTTCTTGCATGTCTTTATTTTACTCAGGTGTGTTTTAAATGCCTATTGTTTGTTCTTGTATGTCTTTGTTTTACTCAGGTGTGTTTTAACATTCCTATTGCTTGTTCTTGCATGTCTTTGTTTTACTCAGGTGTGTTTTAACATTCCTATTGCTTGTTCTTGCATGTCTTTGTTTTACTCAGGTGTGTTTTAACATGCCTATTGCCTATTGCTTGTTCTTGCATGTCTTTGTATTTCTCATGTGTGTTTTAACATTCCTATTGCTTGTTCTTGCATGTCTTTGTTTTACTCAGGTGTGTTTTAACATGCCTATTGCCTATTGCTTGTTCTTGCATGTCTTTGTATTTCTCATGTGTGTTTTAACATGCCTATTGCATGTTCTTGCATTCCTTTGTTTTGTTCTTTGTTTGCTTAGTGGCAGTTCTATTGTTTGTGTGTGATAGACCATCGTGCATGTTGTAGGCTGTAATACGATTGCTTGGATTGCCAGCTGTCAATATACAACATTGGATAGCGCCATATATCCTGAAACCCTAAACGCTCATGTAAATGACATACAGACACCTACGCTCATGTACCCAACATACACCCACCTACGCTCATGCAATCAACATACACCCACCTACGCTCATACAGTTAACATACACACCCCTACGCTCATGCAACCAATGTACACACTTCTACGCTCATGCAACTAACATATACCCACCTACACTCATGCGTTAAATGCGATCACTCTCCTTGCTCCAGAGTGCACGAGGTGTGGGTGGGGTAGGCCACATGGCCATGCGGCAGAAGTACAACATGTCCTTCGTCAAGGCATCCGATGGCGGCAGTATAGCAGCCCATAACATCGCACCGGTGGAGAAGGTGGGTTGTATTGCTGAATATACTGCCAGCACTGGAGCAGG